CGACATCATTTTCGCTACTGGCTGTCTCTGTCCTTGTTCGCCTTGACGGCGGCATCAGGCCGGAAAATGGGTCTCTTCTCGGGGTCTTGCTCGTGGAGGACCTGAGCACGCCCACTGTGATTGAAGCAATTAGCGATCTTACACTTAAGCAACAGGGGAGGATGAGACCAGCCTTTGCCTTCAATGGAGCTCAAGCTGTCCCTCTGAAAGCTTCGGAATGAGTACATCTTCCCATCCAAGGCCCCTGCGGCGGAGCTGCTGAAGTGTGTGACGAGCTCCTGCGACACTGTGCAGCTAATTAAAAGCCACAAGAAATCTGCAAGGGCCAGACAAATTCAAAAGGGATCAGGTTCAACAATGTGCCTTGCACAAGCTTGACAGGATACAAAAAAAAAATAAACAAGGCTCAGCCCGCTCTTCGAAAGCTGCCATACGTCTTAAACCAAGTTTTTCCCAACAATGGTCCAGTGAGCCCTGGACTAAGAAATGACTACCCTGCTGCGACCTCGTGTCCCTGGAAGCGCGCGTAGCTGATGGCAGGCGCCTGACAGCGCTGAAGCGGAAGGTACTTGCCCTTTGCCTACAAACTCTCCACATAATCGCTACATCATGACTTCAGCCTCAGATTGGATCAACACAAAGGGCCTTATTGAGAGGCTTCAGCGGTTCTTCTCAGGGCTGTGAACATTACATACTCGAATTCTGACATTCTCCTCACATGGCATCGCCACCCACACCCATGTGCGACAGTAGGAGGGGCTTGACACACCTGCTACCAGCCCACGCACATTCATCCCCTGATAGGGGTTGGCCAAGATGGCATATTGCATGTTTTGGCAAGTATCTAGACCGGCCTTGAGCTCGCACTTGTAACTTATAGCCCTAGTGGAACGATGGGCTGGCAGCAACTTCCGGAATTCTGCAGTATCATGGGAGAAACGGCCAGTATCCAAAGAGCAAACGCCACAGACAAGGCCTCAAAACGAAAGCTTTTTCCTACCTTCCCTTGGCAATTAACCTCAGGGAAAACACATCTGGCACAGCCTTGGCTTGTGCATCGCTCAGGCAGTCTCGCCAGAAACCACTCTTGACCTGGCATCAAGAACCAATCAGAATCGACACCAGAATTCTGTGCTCAACTTGGAGGGGCGTTCTGGCACTTGGCATGTTTGCCTGTCACTTTGTGCCTGCTTTTAAACATCCTCAGGCATCCCAATGTGCCCAAAATTTCACACCTTCCAAATCTCCTGCATTAGACACCGCTCCTGCAGCAGCACGGACTTGTGAAACGGAGAACTTGCATGCTGGTGATCTACAGGAATGGTTCCCTAAGCTTCCCAGCAGATACACATGGCCATCATGTGCCACTGAAAGAATGTACACGCCGCCTATGACACATCGAGCTGGCACTTCGTTCTGAGCGCGAAGCCATCACGAGGATTTTATGCACATCCTTGCCAGTCAATGCAGGATTTCCTAGATTCAGGTGAAGAGGTTTATTCGGGGCTCCGATGAAGAGTACATGATCCAAAAAGCTTCCAGTTTTTTGGGTTTGGGGCTCACGTTGTGCAGAATGTCATCTGGTTCTACTAACAGTCCTGCTGTGAGCCTGATTGGGACAACCCAAGCTATGAAGCTATGCAGCTATGACCTTGGCTCTAGCGATGAGCATGTTCTTAACATGAGCCATCTGTTGCCATACTGTTCGAGCCACCTGTCACTCCAATACAGTTCGTTCCAGCAGTCAGTAGGCCGACTACTTGTGCACCCTCAGCGCAGGTATCTTGACAGCTAAGTCCGGAAACCTGTTAACAGTTCTGGGTTGCCTTGAACTTTTTGCAGAGGCCCTGTCTATGACGCAAAGTGACTAGCCACATCCCAGTCTGGTTCCAGCCTACTGGCTACTTCGGTCCCCGCTTACAGGAACAGCATCTCTTCTGCAAATCAAGCTCCTTGTTTCTAGAATTTGCTGCCAAGGCACGGAGGGCGCAACAAAGTTGATGAACGCAAAACCTGCTGGGACATTCCGGTGCTCCTGCACAAACCGGCAAGCCTGTACAACCCTGCACACTCACAAGCTGCCATGTTTGCTGTACCCATACCCCCCTCTACAATCCCTCGACATGCTAGACTCAGTGAAACACTGCCATCAAAAACCCTATGCATGATTTTCACAAGCAGTGTCCAAAGTGCTTCAGTCTCAATCAGCCCGGTCCTTGCAAGGCATGTAGAAGAAGGTAAACCCTGAGGCTGCCAGGCTCAGGGAAAACGCAGCAGAATAGGGTCCTACAATCCTGTCACTGGCTGACAGATACAATGGCACCCCTTCGACAAGAACACATGGTTTCCCTGCACCTTTAAGAGTTGGACCTGTCAACCATCTTGGAATGTGTCTTAAAAAGCGGTCGGCTCGCTGTTGCCATGTGTCCCCAGCACTCTCATGTCAGAAAGCGCGTTTAAGCTGAGTGACAAGAAGAACCTCTCGTTCCTGTCCGCAAAAATATGCAAGGGCATGAGGTGGCACCAGCAGGGACGAACCTCATTGCATGCCCTGAAATGAATGAAACCCAAAATTGCTACACCCTTGAATCGCGGCGACATGCACCCGTACCTTCAACCCTCCCGACACCAATCCAAATCAACCGAAAACACACACGATGGCAGAACAGGTACACGCTAGAGCAGAACAATGCCAGGATTAAGAAGCCATGTGTAGAGGATGATGTGGAGCACTCCCGCACAAATCCTCCTTCGAATACACGGCCTGGACAAGCTGGCTATCGGGAGTATATACGGTGATATAGAGTAAATGGAAACTCGAGCTTTACTACTTCGGTTCCCTGAGGTTTCTGGACCCTGACTGCTGGGAACCGCGCTGTCTGCCAGGCCACACTTCTCCAAGAACATGAGGAACTCCTGGCGTTGCCCAAAATTTTTCCGGCCTCCTAATCAAAGATAGACACAAGCTACTCTTAGAACTTAAAGGTCGGATCTCATGATGAGGGACCCTGCATTGACATGGGCTTTTGCAAAAGGCCTCATAAAGGACAACCGCAGATGATCAGACATTTCGCGTAAGCTAAGAGACTTGGAGTGAATTCAAGATTCGAGCTTCAGGGTTTCCAGATTGCATGGAGGTCAGCAACCAAGTTGAAGATTGCCACAATTGGATTGCAGCGTTGCATCCCGGGCCAGAAACAACATAAAACCTCAAGATGTTCCTGTTCGCAAGTGCAAGCAATCTTCATCGCACTTCGATGAAACCCATTTGAGCTATAGTCTAAACTCCTAGTATTCCCCTTAATAAGCCCTATAGTAGTCCCCTATAGAATCAATCCCCTATATAGCCCTCTTTAAGGAATTGTGACTATAACTCATTTGGAAACGGTTGACATGGTGGAAGACACAGACACGGCCGACACTAAACCGGGTACCCGGCCTTGCGTGCATTGTTCCCCACAAGGTTTCTCACCATCACGGTTGTGCGTGCGTCCTCTCCCCGCTGAATCCTGGCTCAAGAAATCAAAATCTAATCCCCAACTGGGGAGTCAGACCCCCATGTGTGTGCCCTGCATAACTTCAAGCAACAAGGTCTGAAAACTCAGTTCACAAAATGTTGGTTCACAACCATGCCAGTTCACCCATACCAGCACTCGAACGGGATTGTCTCTGGGGCATTACTCCTGGGCCTATGTGTCAGGCAGAGAGAACTAGCGGCAGCCAAAACAGCAACATATCTGATGTGCTATATATACTGTAACATATGTAATATACACTATAGAATGTATAATGTAGTATATATATATATATATTTATTTATATGTATATATGTATATAGAGCCCTGCCCCCTTCAAGCAACGCAGACCCTGAACAAATGCTAGGCACGAGTCATGGGTGTGACATGGTGGGACTGTAAAGGCCAGATTTCCGCGTGCTGTGAAATGTGAAGCCACTAGGTGAAGTCTGGGAAGCACCACAGCATACAGTTTTGGTGTGAATCTCTCAGCTTTCGACTTTGTGAACTAAACACAGCATTCTGTTTCCACAGCAGTTTGCGATTACGAGTCAAGATTCTGGCGGGAGCCTTCACTAAAGCGCGAGCGTGACACAGTTCTGGCGCAAAGGACAGGGTTTCGTGGCGTTGCAGGACTTGCCCAAGCCTGCATGCTAGGTTTCTCAGCTATGAGGATGGACCTACGTAAGCAGCAGGAGTGGCTAATTTGTCGCTGCAGGCTTGTGAAGCTTGGGGTTTATGTCATGACTCCTAGCCTTGAAAGAAGGAAAGCAGGAGACACGTGAAGATGACCTCAAAGCCTGACCCGCAAGAATCTCGAGCTAAGGCGCCCTGAGCCTAAATACGGGAAGGAAGCCAAAGACTCTGCCCACAGCCTTACTACATGGAATGGGTCCCCAACTTGCAAAGGGCATGGCCACAATTTCAGGGAGCAGCCTCAAGAATCTCGAATCTTCTGTGAAAGGCTGAGGTTCTCAAATTGTCCAGCAGCCTGTCTGGATTGATGTCATACTTCGAGAAATCTTGCATGCTCACCTGGACGCAAAGGGGAAGCCAGACCAGGAGCTAACAGGGGGAAGCGTCAACGTGAGATTTGGGGCAACTCTAAACTGTAATCTTTGGCAGCGAAGAAAAGGGACATGGATTCACCCATAAAGGCGTGGGCACTGGAATCCCAACATTGGGTGCACGGCAAGCCCGGTGCTGTCTGGAAACTCTGGGCAGGAATCTGCGATGCCAAGGATCCACAAGAGATCCTTTCTGTATCCCCTCCAGACCACTACTCGACTGACAGAAGTCTGGGGCTGCAGGACCCACAGAGGATGGAAACCAAGGCAAATCTACGAACGGCTAGACGCGAAGCAATCCACGAAGCGCAGCGTTTTGGGGGATATCAGATCCCGCATCAGCAGGTTCCTACTATCGCGAGTCCTGACTGGGCTACACGCCATGCAGCTCTACAAGCTCACAGTACATCCACATAAGTTAGATTTCTGTAATACCTGCTGTACACCCGGCGTGGGCCTTGGTTCGCATAGGTCGGTTTCCTCGCTCCGACTTTCCTTTCTCAGTCTCTGCCTGGACAAGGGGACAATGAGAGCCAGGTCAAATTTGAACGTGAGGTAACCCAGACCCCCAAACGCGTGATATAGGGTTCTATAAAGATTACGGAAAAGAACATGGAAACTACTATTTAGGGTTTTTTTTTACAACCCCTCGGACTTTTAATGCCTGCATAAACAGCACGGGGTTATTACCACCAGGTAGGACTACCGACAGCAACTACACTGCCTGCAGGAGCCCATACAGAGCTCAGCAACTACCCTGCCCTCTATTTAGGGTTTAGGCTCTAGGGTAAACTCCTAACCCACACCCCTGATAGAAAAACCCCCTAAACCTTAATAGGGATTATGAAAGGGATCCTAATAAAGAGGGGGTTCATTAATCATGGGTCTACATTATCAGGTAAAGGGAAACTGGGGGTAAGATTTGGTCTGGGAAAACCTAAGAGGGTGCTTGCAAGCTTTTCGGGAGAAGGCCTGGGGCCGCTTCGTGGTATGCTATGACAGTATTTAGCTTGCATCGTTCTTTTCAACGCTGTGCCTGATCCGCAACGGATACCTAAGTTCGGATCTCTGTAGCCAAAAGCTACCCATCCACCTCAAGGCCAGGACGAACCCATAGACCCCCTTTCTAGACCTATCAAAACCTACAGGCACAAGCCTATTCAGTCTCAAAGTCTTCCCCTGGCTTCCGATTACAAGAGCTTGTAAAGGTGGAATCGAGCTAAATACATAGGATCCTCATGCTTGAGACCTCGCACAAACAAACAAACCAATAAAAAATGATCTTGCCCAAAAGCCTCTAAAGTTCCTCTTCACCCGCAGACAACCCCACAAACCCGTCCAAAACGGTACCGATAGTTTTTTAGGGACCAGCAAATACAAGCTCTGCGGCCTGCGTCTGTGATTCGATCGTGTCAACAGTGCCCTCCTGAAAAGAGAATAAGTAGATAGATGGTACAAGGTCCTAGGGACTCATTTAGGGGCTTCAGGAGTTTAGGTTGCATTGCTGGCGGTGTTGTGGAGATTTGGGGTTCTGCTATCTTCCAGGCTCAGGTTTCTTCATTGCTTCGTAATAAAAATTTGTCTGGCCTGTTTCTACCTGATGCTCTGATGGAAATGCCAGGGTGGATCCCCATATTAATCCGTCGATCCTCTGAGAGATGTTCAACTCTCCAAGGTTGCAGCAGCAAGCCGCAATCACAAATAGCCCCAGAGCCTCTCCAGGAAAGGCACCATGCTGAGAAACACCCAAAGACCTTGCCTGAAATTCGTATAAGTGTAGATAACCTCCAGCAGTCTAGCTAGAAATTCATCCTGCTTCGAACAAATGGGGCTCTGCTATTCGCGTCCTTGCAGCCTACCTGTACAATTTAGCCAAAAAAGAGCAATACAGCAGCTAGCGCAAGGTCTAGCAGAAGAGGGTAGAGAAGATGAAGAACCGCCATCTTGATATTGCTTAGTAAACTAGCACCACCTACAAGCCCGCATACCCTGAAACCCAAGGAGACATAACGATAACAAGCCCATCCCTAAGGATGACCATAGGAATGCTGAGAAAAGGTTTACAAATAAGGAATCTGATCTACCTTATCAGGTTCGGACAATCCAGTTCCACGCATCGCCTCTTCACGGACTGACCAATCCGAGGCTCTTCCAAGCCTGGAGCCTAAATCCCCGGTACCTTGAAGGCCAAGGACAGATCCAGTCCTTAACAGGACTTTCAAAAGGACTTTAAGAGGAAAGGTATACCAACCATTCCTTGAAGTCCAGAACTCAGGCTTGGCCTCCGAAGGGGTTGGCACAGTTGTCGGTGTGAGAGGTAATCCTTCAGGGCTCGTCCCCTTGATGGAAAGGGAACACTGAACACTCTGAAATAGGAGACCTGCAGGAACTAGGGACCCTCCCAAACTGTTAGCCCCTACAGTCCTGCAGCACGCAGCGCTAGTCACAGAGGCTGAGAAAGGGAAGAATGAATAGGAGAAAGAAACGGAAGGGGACAACTCAGATGCTTCATCCAGCCTTTTGGAACGGACAAAGCTGGCGCACACCCTGTCTCAAACTTGCGGAGTTCCACTATGACTGCAAGGCAAAGACTCCCAACTGAGAGTTTGCCAAAATCGAATTGCAAGTACATGAAATTTGGTCAAGAGCACTGATCACTCAAGCTCTACACAAGCTGATGGGCGATCTCCATAGATAGGGTACCCTTCCTATGTCTTGAAATACCAGGTGCATCTCTTTCTTAATAGAATAATCCTTATGACCTCCAAGAAGACAACTGGGAGATTCCCTAGACTGTTCCTACAGCCTCCCAAGCATGGATCCCCAAAATCCCTTGGCAATCCAACTACAGTATAACCCTAGGGTAGGAAAGGGCCCTTTGTTCTGACAGACCCTAAAACCCAAAGCATAGATCTCTGACCGAAATGGATATATCTGTATGTACACATATCACTGGCACCTCGTTAAACGATTGTCTAGGGGAATCCTGTCTTGAGAAAAACCTGCCAGCCATCAGCCAGGCCTTGCGGAGCAGTGTTTGTAAGCTGCCTCAGCGCAGAAGGCTTGGGTGTCTTGGGAGACTGAGCTCTACCGATACCTCGTTAAAGGTGTTGTTGTTAGTTAAGGTGTAGGGTGGAGGGTTTAGGGAACAGGTTTGGGGATTTAGGGTTCAGATCTTTTTTGGTCAAGGGCTCAGGGCTTAGAGCTGAAGAGTCAGGGTTAAGAAGCTTTAGGGCTTAGGGGGTCCAGGGGTTAGGGTGTGGGATTTAGGGCTGCGGTTGTTTCAGAGCTTAGGGAGCGCGAGGTGGGTGGCCAGCGTACTCCTGAAGACTGCTGAAAAAAGAAGGCTCGGCATGTCGATACGGTAGTGTCCCTAAATAGGGGGACCCCGATACAATCCAACAAATACTATAGCCCTTACTATGCGGACTCCCAACAAAGTACCCCTCGTTTTAGGAAACCCCATATGCTTACACAGAAACTTGTTTTCCACGATGTAGCGATGACAGTTGCAAGCGCAACGGAATCAATAACAATCCAAAACATAGGTATGTAGCTCATCAGTCACTCGACTGAAGCCATAAACAAACCGAATGATCCAACTCTCCAACTGCAAGCAGGTATTCCTCAACACCTGAGCTGCAAAAACTGGCACGGCTAGCATCCCAACAACAACACGAATTGAACGCCTTCTACCGTTCTTAGTGTACATATGGATACGTTCGCGTATACATGTTTGTATGTATAGCTGCCGCTGAAAAACCCTAAACCCCACACCCCAAAGCGTTTTTTCGATGTGAGTAGTTGCCAAAATCAGGATCCCATTTTGATACCCTACATTTCAAGTGCCGTACTATAATCTATAACCCAAAAGGGGCCCATAATTTGGATCACAACCCATGTAACTCCCGGATGGATAAACCCTAAATAGTAGCTTCCATTTTTCCATTATCCGGCTATCTTACCCCAGTATATATATATAACCCCTAGACCCTAAACCCTTAGCCCTAAACTCTAAACCTTAAACTCTAAACCCTAACCCCTAAACCCTTAACCCTAAACTCTAAACCCTAAACCCTAGCCCCTATGTCCTAAATCCTAAACCCACGGGGGCCCAAGCCCTGGCCATGAGCCAGCGCCCATCTGGGCAAGCAGCGCTGAGGCTGGATTCGCCTGCTCCTTGTGCGGGTTGTGTAATGACTCTGGGATGTACTGGAAAGTAAAGGTTATCTGGGAGTGTAAAGCCTATACGGAGATTTTGGGATCTAGGTCCCCTATTTGAGAGACTTTATATTGGCAGGCCCCTTTTATGACAGAACATCTGATTAATATGCGATGCCATATCCTTAATGTGCAACGACTGTACAGAGGGTTTAAGAGCTCCATGCCGGTTCTACAGAGACTTTTAGGGGATTTGTAAGGACTGTGAGGGTCAAACAGCCAGCTTCAGGGATCATACAAGGATTCCAGGAAGGGTTTGAAGCTGCATGATATAGGCTTCATATTGGCATCTATCTATATCTCAGATCTCGAGCTACTGAAGGTTTCTTGAAATGATGGCTTCCTTGGGGACCCCAATTTCGGGGGGGTCTTCAGGCAAATACATACATTGATGCAGGGCAAAGAGATTCATCCAGGCAGCACATGAAGACGATATGGAAAATACATCATATGAACCATAGTCTAAACTCCTAGTATCCCCTTAGTAACCCCTATAATAGTCCCCTATATAATCTCCTATATAACCCCCTTTAAGGGGTTTAGACTATAGTTTATATCTGAATGCTGCTGATTCGAGGAGCAGGCCCGTGGGCTTGTAGCAGAATTACCACGCATAAACGAAATTCAAGTCGAACAATGAAAAATAAATGGAAACCAGGTGATTCAAAAATAATACTAGGCAACCCTTCCTTTACTGCTCCTCACTATTTTTCTGCCAAGCTCCCTGGCTTATGCCGATGACCAGATGCGCATTTCACCCTGAGCCTGAACACTCAGCAGCACAAGACCTTGCAACAAAGCCTAGAGCCGCAAGTGCCAACTTCTCGCTCAGAAACCCTGTAATCGCTTCTATTGCTGCCTGCTATCGCTGCCTATGCTGGACGCCATCTTTCTTTGCCACTTGGCGCCCGCACCGGCGTCCAAGGAATCGCGGTGCCCTGGGAGGCGGCGAGCAACATCTGAGCGTCCGGACAAGATCAGGTCTTGTGGGCTTCCAGGCTAGGGAAACTTTGCAGGTTCAGGGTTGAGGGCTTTTGAGAGGTAAGGCGAGATATTGATTGTCTGTGAGACAGCGCGGTGTGAGTGTCAGCGATTGACACCTGCTGAAAAGTGAGCATGATTTCAGACATACTGGCAAATTCGAAATGCAAGACCACAAGCATGATCCAGATACTGCAGCGCGAGGGGTAGATAGTAAACATCTGGTTGACGCAGTGAGCAAGAAAGTGAGCAAAGCTTACAGAAACAGGGATCTGAGGGCCTGAGCCCCAACCCAGAAAGCCTCACAACAGGCTTAAGACCGTATGCGGCCATCGCGAAGGATGACAGGGGCAAATGAACAAAATGAGCCCTATGAACATCCAGAGTCTAGAATAAAGAATGCAGCTTGCCGTTCCTACGACTCTGGGAAGGAGCCAGCTACCAGGAATCCATCTACAGGACCCAGCAGGGTTTTGGGTGAGGGCCTGAGGTCTCTCAGGTTGAGTTCAGGTCCAGGTTAGGGCTACAATGAGCAGGTCATGGGCCAGGGAGATGCAAGCAGACCGAGATGACGATGATAATAAGGAGGAGGAAGAAACAAATCAGCAGGAGGAGGAGGAGGAGGCAGGAAGTTTGACGACGCTTGTTCCGCACTGGTCAGTGTTTTCAACACTGCTACAAGCCTGGATAACCACGCTAAAGGTTCTGGACAACATGTGCAACCCAGGGCCAGGCCAAGAGATTCCTTCCCCGACCCTCCTGAAAACAACCAACTACCAAGCTTCAAGGGCAAACGGAGAGAGGAAGAGCTTCTTCTCTGCCTGTGCAGCGCGGATGTCATAGAACTCAACAACCGCATAGCCGTGGGACGCACTGATGTGCGCCACCTGGCAAGGAGAGGTTTGGCTTCAATGTCAACAGTTACTGATGGTTGGCCTCTGTCTTTCTAATGGTGTGCAAGCGGGCCTCTTGATTATTGCGGGTGCCTCACAAGCCAATAATAACAGCTACCTGCATGTAATATTCCTTTCTTAACCTGAGGGAGGCGGTCAAAAGTACTTGCCATACACAGTTGGGCCAAAGATTCATTGTCCATAGCACCTCCCCACCGATTCTAAACCCTTAATCCTGTTCTGCATCCAGCAGTTGGGGTCAGCCTCGCCGAACTGATTGAAGCCACCCTGGACATGATCTACCTGCGCAGCAAGAGGAAGATGGAGTCTTGGTTTGGGACTGCTTCAGGCTGCATATGGGAGGAGCCTGGATATGCACTTTTGTCATATTTTGACTAGGTGCATGATCGTTGTTGTTGCTAGTAGATGTGGAAGCCCAAGGATGCTAGACTAGGGCACGGATATTTTGGCTGGAAAGCATGGCGGAATGATGCAACGACGTAAACCAATGGGTGGACACCCTCAAAAAGACCAAACAGGATCAACAAACCGCACGAATCTCCTCGAATCTGCACAGGAATCTTAATCGCAGTCTCTACAGTGCTGGCTTTCAACACGCTCTGGTCTTCCCTGCCAGGTACTACGGGCGGGACCTGACCCTTTCTGGCTCAACTCCTGCAGTTCACGACCCGACCTAAACAACAAGAAGCAGATCATCAAGAACTAACGGTCCAAAGTCGCCAAAGCCTGACACACTGCTTTTGGGTTACAAACTGGCTTTGCCGTATGCGAAGAGTAGTTGTGCCTTCCTCTGTCAGGGACCTACAACCATACCCCCAAATGCACAACATGGTATGTCAACATATGCCGGGAGGCCTTCTCAGCAAAGGCTGACAGGTGCACGCCTGACTTGACTCAGGATGTTCAAAACCCGAAAGAGGTCAAAGCTGGCTCTTCTTAGGATGGAGATGCATGAAAATTGAAAGCCCAGGACGGGGCAGGGTTTCTTGACGGTCAGGGTCTTCCCTTTGTAGTCCAGTGGAACCGAAGCAATGCTAGCACGTGGGCGCAAGTTGTGCACTCTCAATCATACAGCCAGCGGACAAAACAATGACCTAGGGGCCGGGAGATGATCTGGGCAAAAAGAGCTTTAGTCTAGCCGGAAAGCTCTATCCACCCGCCAACAGCCCTCGGCATGCACTTCTGAGACCAGCCAAGGCCCCTGCGAACTGTACGAATGTCATGCGCAGCCTGCGCCCCACGAGCATTTCACGCAATTCCTACAACTGCCATAGCCTTAAGAAAGGGCAACGGGGGTGAATGATTGCGTGGAGTGTTCAGTCTGCAGGCCTAGATCTAGCTGTCCTACCTGGGGACAGCTTATACCTTCTGCGCCGCTCCTTGACCGGGATCTTCAAATAAATTGGAGCTCCAGGCTTCTAGCACCAGAACTATGCCTAGCCCAAGACTGGCAAAACCTGAATCTCCAAACCCCATAGCATCAAGCTCTGCCGGACCATCTGCAGATAAGATAAACTACATCTAGAAACCTTCCACCTTCACTCATTGCAAGAATACCATGAGGATTCAGACAAAGCCAGAAGAAATTGCTACTTGCACACCTCAATGAGTGCCTCAGGTCCTACTACAAGAGGGTCTGAGTAGATCTGACAAAGTTCTAGCTCACGAGGCGCGTCGCACAAGACTTGCTGATGTGATTATTCATGGACTCCAATACAAAACAATACTTATTCTACCACTACTTTAGCTTCTTCTAATGTGGCCATCTCCAAGAACGCGGGGTCCCGGTGTTCTGGGTCGCTACTGTACGGATTGTAGAAACAGAAGGTACGGCATCCCGAGCCTTGGAGACCCAATATCACCAACACCAACCCCCTTCTGTTCCCACTCCCCCGGTTGCGGGCCGGCGGAAACGGCTCGCAGCGGCCAAGGCCGCCGAGCATCAGGCGCTGTGCGCAGCGGACGTCGAAGTAGGTGACCAGGATACACCTCAGCGAAACAGGAACAGGAACAGCACGGTAGCAAAAGGACTTGTGACTAGCCGCTGTAAGGACTGCAGCAGCATCTATTGGTAAGATGTAGGAGTAAGAGTAACAGTTGTAGCACGTAAAGCAGTAGAAGTAGTAGCAGCTTCAGAGTCTGGTTTGGTCCTAGAAAGTGACCCGTAGTTTGCAGAGATCCAGGCTGAATGAAACTTCTTCAACTTCCGTTGCAAGTCTGCTTCTCTTACGGCTTTCAGACTTCGAGGATGTCGGACGGACTCTTAGTCAAAGCCATTCTTTCAGGCAACCTCTGGAACGGGCTTGTGCAGTCAAACCTCACTTCTGTAAGACCCATTACGCCAGCATTTTCTCTGCATTGTAAAGGAATCTGATCAACCTACTTTTGCCCCTGTACTAATAATTTTTTTTCTCCACATAAACCAATAACATGTACACATATACACGTGCGTGTATATATATATATACACGTATATTAATATACTTATATAGGCACTTCATGGGAAATATTCGTTCCATTTGGGCAGGGTGGTTTTAGAATTAGGGAACCTGAGTACTTGAATGCTTGGAGCCCATCTGCAGAAAGGTTAGGCTTGGGCCGCGCAATGACCGCCAGACTGGTGTCGAGCCTTCAGGGTCTGGGGGCTTCGGGGTTAGGGTTTAGGGTTTAGAGGGTTTAGGGTTGAGGGTTTAGGGTGGTGACCAGATTGTGCAGGGTCAGGGCTTGGAAATTTGCTTTTGAGAGATGCGCTTCATGTGACAGACCTTGAAAAGCGCGCCCTCCATAAGGATGCTTCTTGCAGAAAGGATCCTAAGAAAGAAGGCTCTTTGTCTGGAAGTTCCTGGGCTGGGGATGACCTGGCCTGACTTGCAAGGGGTTGGATAAGAAAAGTATTGCTCGCCCGTAAGTTGTTGGGAACCAGCTGCACAAGAGCTTCACCTTATTCCGCCCTGTTTCGGATCCACATCCTGGAGCTCCATGTGGCGGGGTATATGGTCGTTGTTGGTACTTCTGCATTTGTCCGACGAGGCCCACTCGCGGGACCGACAGGAGGCAAACCCTCCATAACCCAGACTCTGATTGAAATGGCAAATTCCAGAGCATGGTGCGAGAAGTTCTCGTTGTGGAGGATTCTTCTTTCATGGTGTCGTAAGTTATGACGTCCGAACAACCATACATGGGAAAGAGCTTGCAAGAAGGCCTGATAAGCCTGAGCGATCGCTGTGTGCCGGGTTGCTTGGCAACTAGATAGGGCGTACAAAGACAGCCGCAGGCCCATACTACATGGAAACTACGATAATATATTGGGGTAATATAGGGAATAATGGGAATGATGGAAAATAAGATGGAAAATATAATGGAAAATACGACAATATATTGGTGGAATATAGGGAACAATGGGAATGATGGAAATTTAAATGGTAAATACGATAATATATTGGGGTAATATAGGGAATAATGGGAATGATGGAAATTTAGATGGATAATACGATAATATATTGAGGTAATATAGCGAATAATGGGAATGATGGAAATTTAAATGGAAACTACTATACCCCAAACCCTCCAAAGAGCATGGTGTCTTCAAGTGCCTCCCCAGGAAGCTTTCGGCTCACCAGTCTATGGGCTTCTGGACAGCATGGGTGTTTCTGAGAGCCTGGGAAAACTTTGGCACAACAGATCGAGTGTCCATCACTGCTGATACAGAATGTTCCGTGTTGGTTTGTCCACATCCATGAAAACATAAATTCTCGTCGTAATTGGCCCCAGACCGCTGCAAATCATGTGAAGCATGTTGTTGGAACCAAGCTTGAAACCTTTCGCACTTGAATCCTACATGTCCCTGAATAGGAGGATCCCAATATAGACCTCAAAGCATTATAATCCTTATACAGGGACCCACTAGAAAAGTACCCCTAATTTTGCGAAACCCCCACATGGGCTTGGGACAGGAGATCCTACTGAGCAGATAAGTTGACCTGAAACGGCATGATTATGCATAGCTTATGCCTTGCAACACACAAAACCTAAAAAGAAGGGGTTGAGGTGACGACAACATAGTA